GGTCCTTTGCCTGCATGTAATACCCCCTTTCCTGTCAGCCTGCTGTTGAAAAAACTCAAAAAAACAAAAGAAAAGACGACTGTTTATGAGTTATTAAGCAGCTGTGCAGGGTGTAACACCTCCTGTAAATCATAACAGGATGAGTTGAATCGTGTCTGCATCCCCTGGAGTCAGTATGTGCTGCTCTATTGGAATTTGGGAATTTTGGCATGGCTCCCAGTGGAATTTTTCTGATGAAGTATTAAACAGACTTTTGGATCATCATTTCATTACCCGGTCTGAATCTGAGCAGGTATGTTTCTCAGTGAGCGTACGCAAAGAAGGAAACATGTCCAAGCATTAAGAGAATTAATTCTAGTCATGTTTAAGAAATCATTGATATAAGCACAAATTGCAGAGGAAAATCCCACCTTCTTTCTCAGTCTTTTTTTACATTTTCATCATTCAGCTGAGAATCCAGCACAAATGGGCCAGAGCCTCTGCATACTTTCACACTTACACTATCTAAAAGTCAGCCAGGCGGTGACCTCACCCAAAGCCTCCAGTCAGCATTCAGCCCTTCTCACACAGAACACAGCATTACCATAAGGTGATGCTAGATAATCTCTGGTCATCATATGTCAGCATAAGAATGTCCACTTTGGGTGACTTACACAGAAAGTGAATAGATATAGAATTGAACAGATGTATGGAAAAACAAAACAAAACAAAAGACTGTATGGAAAAACAAAAACTGCAGTATAACACCTGAAATATTTCTTTGAATGGTAATCCATCCATCCATCCATCCATCCATCCATCCATCCATCCATCCATCCATCCATCCATCCATCCATCCATCCATCCATCCATCCATCCATCCATCCATCCATCCATCCATCCATCCATATAGAACATCAATCATAGAGGAGGCTGGGTCTTTTCATTCACTAAACAGTGGAATTATTTAGACTTGTACATTAGACACACGATCCCTGCCTGCTTTTAAAGTTTTAAACCATCTTTCTTTGTTTCTGGGTTTAAACGTCAGACTTAATTTGCTCTTGATTTAACTAATTTGTCTCTAATCTTTTATTGTTTATGCTGTGTGACAGTTTTATATATTTTTCTGTTGTTTCCTGATGTGTAGTGCTTTGCTTTAGCTTTGTTATGAAAAAGCTGGAATGGTAAGAATTTATTTCTACAACTAAAGTGAAACACTGTCATTATCTGACAGCAAATGTTTCAGTTCAGTTTATTTATATACAGTAGCATCAATTCATAGCCATCTAATTTTAAGACAATGCTTTGAATTGGCAGCAATCCGTCATACTGAGCGTGTATGTTCTGTCAGGGGAGAAGGTGTTAGATTATCTTTCTCCAGGTTATGTTTTTATAAACTCAAGCTGAGAGTTTGTAAAAACAACAGAGGCATAAGTCCAATTGTTTGTGTTTTGTTTGTTTGAATTCTGTTTTCAGGACTGAGGGGTTCAAAAATGTAAAAAAAAGTAAAATAAGAACTGAAATACACAGTAAGCGATTTTCATACAGCTCCTGCAGGAGGAGAGACAGTTGCAACCCAGACTCAAACACTCTGTCTCCCGCCGGACCTCCTCTGCAGAGTGTTTTATTAACAGAACATAACACATGGTTACAAACAGAGTATTTTTCTGACAGAACAATTGATCAGTTCATAAAGACAGGATGCTCTACTGGCTGTAATCACAAGGCAAAGCTCTCCTCTTGACTGAATCACAAGACAGAGTGGTCTCCTGATTGAATCATATGACAGAGTGAAGCATCTAATTTCTACAATGTTTCATATGAACACACATTAATTTTATAATCATCATTGAATAAACCTAACAAGGACTGTGAAGGAACAAGCTGGTAGATGTTTATCATGACCAGAGATGGGAAGTAACGAAGTACAAATACTTTGTTACTGTACTCAAGTAGATTTTTCTGATATTTTTACTTTACTTTACTACTTATTTTTATGGCGACTTTTTACTTCTACTCCTTACATTTTTACACAAATATCTGTACTTTCTACTCCTTACATTTTAAAAAATTGGCTCGTTACTTTAGTTTTGAATCATTTCAATGGAGTTACCGTTATTATTTTTCACGTCATCAATACCAAATTCAATCTAACTGGATGGGAATCTACGTTGCATTTGACGCACCACTACAAGATGAATCGACAGATTCGGCGGTATTCATTTGCGTTAAATCATTGCAGCTTGGTGGCGGTGGCGTTAGCATAGTAGCATGGACGACGAGATGATTGAAAATGAACACAACGGAGATCTAGTCCTATTGGCAGACATCCATTTAAAATGTAGGCAACGGCATGAAAAAAGTGGTTTCTACTTTTACTTTTAGACTTTAAGTAAATTTACAAGCCTGTACTTTGTTACTTTTACTTGAGTAAAGAAGTTTAATCAGTACTTCCACTTTTACCAGAGTATTTTTTAACACAAGTATCTGTACTTTTACTCAAGTACGGAAAGTGAGTACTTTTGCCATCTCTGATCATGACCTCAATAAAACAACCAGAGCATCTGATTCCAGCTTGTTTAAACACGTTAGAGGGAGAGACTGTGGCCTATGGTTGTAGTTCAGGAACGGAGCTGTCCTCAGGCACACAGACACACACTAGAGTTTAGCTCAGCATTTGAAACCTGTCTTAGAGGTCTAGATGTTTACATTGCTTAGACGTGTTAGAGAAGTTAGAAACTACTCATCTTTAGTCCAGTAATTCCAGTAACACCAGTAGATAAAATCCAGTAAAATAAAATTAATTGATATACAAGTACAGGCCATTTACCATTTGCTAAAAGAATTGCAATAAAGGTCCTAAAATAGGTGAAAATTAGAATTATTAATTTTTCAAATTAGAGGATCATCCAAGAGGTGGTAGTTAACTCTGGGGGAGCTGCAGAGCTCTACATATCAGGAGGAAACAGCTGGCCATGATCAAAGCAGATTCATTATTAAAATGGAATCGGTTTTTAAGACTTCATTAACTAAATCATTATTTACCTGGTATTCTCTACTATCAGTTCATAGACTGAATAACTAGCAGAGCAGTTTGTTTGTTTATCAACAAACACTGCAACCAAGATCTTACAAATGTCTTTAGATTTACTTATAATGGACATCCTAACTGTAGTAGACTCAGTGATAATCCCACATCTATTAGTTTACCCTGATCCTGCACATCTCAACATAAGTATATTTCCTATGAAGGTCCTTTGATTTAGAATGGATTACCTCCATCATTAATATATACTCATCAAACAGCATCTAAAAATAGATTTGATAAACTCATGAATCTTCCTCTATTACTGTATTTATTATTTTGTTCATGTCTCATGAACAAAATTATCTTAATATTCATGTCTCATTTTCTTATTTATTACTCTTTATTACTATTAAGCTTTCCTTTTTAGGTACCATAGTCTCTTTATTGTTTAACTGATTGTTTTGTTCTTTATTTCCTTGTTCGTCTTGCTCATTTTGCTAATCAAATGTTATTAATTTTCAAATGCTTTACCTCCTTTTTTTTTCTTTTATGTTTGTAAACATAACATATAGTAGTGGAGCACATGTTAGCCAGTTAGCTTCATTCCCTCTTTGCTGTATTGTTTTTAAAGATGTTTTTGCTAAAAAAGTTTAAAGTGTTTGAAACTAGGCCAATTTACACTTATCAAACTATATTAGTATGATAAAATAATGCTATTTTTAAATATTATAATTATTCATACTGAGCACTCATGTCTCTGTGATGCATCCCCCCTCCCTGGCAGTGTCGTTGCAGACGGGGTGCAGCTTAGTTGGATGTATCATATCACTGCATGTACTTTCCTCTGAGTGTTTTTATTTCTTATGTTTTATTTGATTTACGGCCTTTTGAATTTTCTTCTCACTGAGATGTGATCTAGAAACAATCTTCTGTACTTGACCATTGTGTAACTTAAGTTTGAAACAACTTTTTGTTTTAAATTAAGCTGCTATGTTTCTTGTGCAGTAACATGAGAAACATTCCTTTAGATTTTCAGGTATGGTTTATAGTTTGTAAAAAGTAATGTTATGTTTCTGTTTAGCCTCCTCTGTTTATGGTGGTCCTTTAAACTAATGTTTCCATTTTCCAGCTGTGTTTAATTTCTACCTAAAAGAACACATAGGCTGATCACGTATTATGAGCATCGCCAGCTTTTTCTGTCTGTAGAGGGATGTGTCCAAACCTGCTGGTGGTTTGACTTAAAACTGAGAAAGAAAAAAAAAGATTTTTTCCCCCTAATTATTGAATTGTTCAGGTTTTGTACACGCATGCCATCCTAACTGGTGAGAAATGTGCACTAGGTGGCGTCTTATTTCCTCCGTTTGCTATGGTGGATCATGCTTCCTGTGCTCTATTGATGATGGCTTTTCATCATGCTCCTGCTCACCCTGAACAGGAGCTACAACTAGAGACAATCGGATCAAGGCAGAGTTGAGTTTCCATGTTAATATCAGCTGTTCTGAAAATCCTAAACATCACTAAGTGAATTAGTTGACTCAGGAAAGCTGCTCTCAGCTCAGAAGAAATCAAGCCCCTGATCTCCACCTGTCCTCTGGGTGCTGCTCTTTTCTTTTGTTTGATCATAACAACACTTAATGTTTTCTCTATTGGTGCCCATGTGTGTGAATCCACCTTCATCCAGGCACAGAAATTCAAAAACCCCCATTGGAAAACCTTTCTGAGATCCTGTGTTTCCACACTTTTATGTCAGCATACCATCAGACAAAATGGACAAAAATTGTACAAATAAGAATAAATTCTTCTGTTTGCTGCTTGTGAATTCATGAACTTTCAGAGATTATTAAACATGCTAGATGCTCGTTAAAAGTTTTGGAGGTTGTTGTGTTAAGTCAAAGGCCATGATGTTAATGTGGAACACTGGTGGAGCCAAATGCTTTGCTCTGCTCTCCAAAACAGGCAGCTAAAGAAAAGCTGGACAACAGACATATAATGATTTTTCAGTTAAAAGTTTAATTAGCACAGAAAAAGGCGAAATAAATAAATAGGTTTTAAATCTCAATTTAAAATATTAGCACTTTTACAGTTTTCAGGTTGTTTGTTTCAGATCAGTGGAACTAAATGTCGCTTCTCCATGTTTGGTTCTGGGTATACAGAGAAGACTCGAACCATAAGGCCTAAGAGGTCTGAGTGTACCACTCTGGCAACCAGTTATTAATGTGTTTCAGTGCTAAGCCACTCAGTGATTTAACTAACTTATAAACCTCACAATCAGAGGCTTCTTTAAGAAAATCTGCGCAGTTCCAGTATCTGCTGCAGTTCACTTCCTAAAACAGATTTTAAGGAGGAAACTATGGACTGTAACCCAGGCAGGAAACATGTGGTGCTGGGATCAAACTACGACTCTCCCTCTAACTGAAGCCGTGCCAAATACAGAAGCTGAGATAAACATGTGAGTCTAATGCTGCATTCAGTGGAAGCAGCTGATCAGTCATGTCAGGTCAATTTTCGCTAAGTCAGAACATGTGTTTATAAGATTCCATTTCTTCCGCTTCAATCCTTTTTCCTTGCTCTCTAAAGGAGGACTGCTCCAGCTATGACCCAGATGTAGAACATCTCCTGGAAGAAACGTCTGCTTCAAAGATATCAAACTTCTTCATGACTCCAAGGCAACAGATCTTTATTTAAACACTTGAATAAACAGAATAAATGTGATGGAAATACCATAGAAAATACATTTCAGGATCATATATATTTTAAAGGAAAATTTTAGGATGAGAAATCCGTTCCTATGGAAATGTACAACTATATAGTTCAAACAGACCAGTATTTACAGACCAGTTAATTTTGACTTAAATCTACGTTGAGCTGTTACAGAGTCCATGGGTTATAGCGATTATATGTTAGGCTCTGCCTGGGTTGGGATGCTCCAGTTTGGCGTAGACCGTTGTCAGATTGTTCCGATCACTGGTTCCTGACGACTCTGGAATATTCTCTTCCTGAGGAAGAAGGAACAGAAACTGGATTAACAACCTGGTTCATCTCTGCTGACCTTTGCATAAAGACTGAGCTGTTTGGTTCTGTGGTTAAACGGTTGCTGACTGAGATATTATCAGACTAAACAGGAAACATCTTCAGTTTAAACAGTTAAAATAACATTACCTTCAGCATTCAATAATTTCCTGCAGCAGTAGCTCTGTGAGTTAATCTCAAGACTAAATAAAAACCCAGAATAATAAACCCAGCAATATTAATATTCAGCCCTCAGCCACCAGCCTTTCTTTAACATCAACCTGCAGGCTGTGAACTGTGAGCTATTAACCATCTCAATGTAAACACATCATCTAAAAGTCTGGTGGTTTATTACACGGAGTACAAATATTATAACCCTTCCCGTTAACAGCACCATCTGTCCTGTCTCCATCTGCTGCCCTTTCATTTCTCTTATCCCAGGAAACACGAACACACCTTTATCACCTGCTGCTTTGTCTCTTTATTCAGCTCTGAAGCATTAACCCTGGGAGCCGTGGCTCTGTAGGGTCAGGTTACAGTGGCATGAAAAAACAGTTCTCCCAGCACTGACATCCATTTTCTCTCTGTTCTTTGTCTCCACTGTGTTCAGATTTGGCTGATATTCTATTATCATGGTGCTCCTATTCCTAACCTATTCCATGGTCCTCATCTGTCTTTATTCATGTTTCCACTCATCCAATAAAACCTGCCTAAAATCAGCAGGTTTTCATGTATATTCATTTTGAAAGACTACAGTGAAAAACTATCACTAACTAACTCAGTGGAACAAATTAACCCATCAGTTTCCCGTCTGCAGAGTGACTTGTGTCAAACAGGTTAATCTATTAAAAACAAAACTGCAGCTCTGACCTATCAACGTGTTAATGAGAGTTTAAAATAGTTTTTAACCTTTTAAATTCAATGTTTTACCTTTTATAACAGTCAGAAAATGTTTTTTAAACAGAACAGAAAAAAAACTTATTTGCATTGTGATATCTGACACCACTGGTACATAGAAATAGATAATATTTACAGTGGGAGGAGAAGCAAACATCACTGATACTGTATCCTGGTAACTAACACCTTTACCTGAGGGGATTTCTATTCACCTACCTGTACCTCAGTCTGTCTTTTATCCTTAATAAGTATTGGCGTATATAGGACTTCCGGTTCTTTTGCGGGATCTGGGGAAACAGAGATGAATTTTGTTGTTGGAAACAATTTTAAAACAAACAAATTAGGCTTTTGTGTTGGTCTAAATTTAATGAAATAAGATTAATTTTTTCATTGGGTGACAGTGGCGTGGGATGCAGGAGTTTGCAACCACAGCGTGGTCAGTTTAAGCTCTAATTCCAGCTTTCAGTTTTGTTGTGTCATTGGGCAAGACACTGGCCGACTGATGGTGGTCAGTGTACGGCAGCCTTGCTTCTGTCAGTGAGCCCCAGGGCAGCTGTGGCTACAATGTAGCTCGCCACCATCAGTGAGTGAATGGGTGAATGACTGAATGCAGTGTAATTCGCTTTGGTCAAGTCCTCTGACTTAAAACAGAACTACATGAGTACAGGCCATTTACCGTGGAAGGAGAGAGCAACCCTGTGATGTCACAGAAACAAATTAACTGAAGGAAGAAAAACTATAATGTTCTCTAAAGAAAGTAATATCTAGAAAGGAAGGAAGAGGGAACTAAGCAGCAAACCTTGTGGAACATCAGAGACCAGATGGAGTAAAAATACAGGATTAAATGTGAGTCTGATAATAAGAGCTAATCAATTGGTACAATTATTTTCTCTCCAAAGAGCTTAAGATTACAATTAAAGTGACTGAAGGATAAAATGGACAAAACTGCTGCACACAACACATAATATGATTGATCCTCTGCTCTCTGTTTAAATGACTAAAATTTGAATAAAAACATTTTATTATATAAATTAAGAATTGTTTTAGAAATGCTACATTTATGAGCTTTAGTGTTCAAAGTTCTTGAATAAAGTGTTTTTTAAATGTATTTAATTACCAAGTATTAAAAATGTGACAAACCTGCTGCAATACTACATCTTCTGAGTAACAATATTTTTCAGCCCATTAAAGTTCATCTTATATACTTTATGGCTCAGAAAACAAAATGGAGGAAACCCTGAAGGAGCAGATTCTGTCTACAATCAACACACCTCCAACATTTACCGCTGTGAGTTAAAACTGTTGCAATGGAAATATTATTAAGGTAGTTTTGGACGGAAATCTTCAAATAATCTCCATTCCAACTTTGAACTAAATAAAGAAATTAATAGGAAATGAATAAAGCAACATCTGAGAGTTTGATAAAATCCTTCAGCAGATAAATGTTGTTATTTCCGATTTAAAATAATTAACTGCAGATATTTTAAAATGTATCACCATCTCTACAGGAAGCCTGTGTGAATAACGTATTTCAGTCAGGAAACCAAAATACCCAGATATTAATCAGTCAGCCTGTTTAAAACAGAGTGCTTGGGTTTACAGGTCTCTGGTTAACTTAGCGTGATTAAAATAAATTGAATTCATAAATAAACTAGTCACAGGATGCAAAGCAAGCAGCTCTGAGCTCTTAGAAAAAAGAAAAAAAAATCCCCTGTCTAATTTTATCTAAACAGACCCATGAACCTGCTGATAAACTCTCTGCTGGAGTTACTGGAACAAAAAGATATTCTAATGTTTATCAGCTAATAACTAATGGATTCACTGATGCAGGAGAAGCAGTATGCTGCCTATTTATTGCACCAGTCTCTAATCATCACAAATGTTTAACAAACATGTTCTCTGTTATTTCCTTCAACATTTAAGTCAAACCCTGGCCTAAACGCACAAATTTTTCACCAAACCAGCCTCTCATCCATACGAAGCCGGCGTTTCGCGGGTCTGTAAACAATCTTTTTTTTATCAGGCCTTCAGATTGGGAAGATTTTGAAACGTCGTTTTCGCATTTCCATCTTTAAGATTTAACCGCATTTTTTTTTTTACACGCATGCGTCATAGCGTCGCCTCTAAACACGCATGCGCGACACAGTATCGCAACAACAATGGCGCCGTACTGTGTTGAATGGTTGCTGCTCATGCTACTCACCCTGCTGTCGGGCTTACAACAGAATCTTCTTCTTCTGGAATATCTCCAGGAAGAACAGAGCAATATCGACGACATAGTTCAGCACCTGAATTTGACTGAACCACGAAAATGGACCCGCAGGGCAACCATGTATAAATATTAGTGCGCATGCCCAACATTTCGTCGCCTATTTTTTCTTTGGCACCACAGCGCCACTTACAGGCCTGGCATACATTTTGCAGCGTTTTCATGCATTCATGTGGTCGATCACATTTATTTTACGTCTCCGTCTTTACAACAAACGTTCTGGAAAATATTAGCGTTTCGTGTTCGTTTTGACTTCGTATGGACAGGGCCTAAGCTTTAATACTAAGGTTTACTTTCCTGTAGGCGAAGCACTGAATTCAAACCAAACTGAAGTTTAATAAATAGCAAAAACATAATGAATTGTACAATTAGGGGAAGCCAGGAACTGCAATCAAATGGAGAAACATTAGTTTTCATTAGATGATAGATTTAGATCAGGGGTTCCAGAAAGGGCCGTGTGGCTGCAGGTTTTCTCTCCAACCAAGCAATAGCACATGAGACTCCAGTCATCTCATCAAGTCATCATGTTCAGATTGGACTCACTTGATGAGATGAATGGAGTCTGGTGTGCTATTGCTTGGTTGGAAAGAAAACCTGCAGCCACACGGCCCTTTCTGGAACCAGTTTGACACCCCTGATTTAGATCATCAACAAATCACAATATCAGAACAAACTTCAACTCACTTTTTATAATTCTGCCTAATTTACAGAAAATAAATCCTAATATGAATCTGTTTCATCTTAAATTTAGATTATTTCCAGATTTACTTGAATTTGACATAAAATTCTCTCTGTCAAGTTTCTAATGAATATAAAATATTTATCTGAATATTAACACAATTTTCTTTAGTCTGAAATGTTGTGGTTGTTTTGACCACTTATTGCTGCTCAGAGCTGGAAAGCATCTGGGGAACAGTTCTGCCTCCAGCGTGTAATTCCACAGTGGGCTGTGTTTGTAACACAGCGTGTAACAAAAGTAATTTCGCTCTGGGATTATTTAAGTATGTCTGATTCTGATTCCTGTGGAAAGCTTCCTTTGCTCCCTGGATGAAAAGGCAGCTCTTAGGAGGAGGATTATGTTATTTAAAACCAAGAACAAAACAAAGAAAAGAAAAAAAGAAAATCCAGAGAGGGATGATAATAAATGAAGCTGCATTCAGGTCTACTGCCTCAACCTGAAAATGAAAACAATCCCTCAGAGGTGGAAAACCCCAGAGATCCCTGACTGTAAGGTGAGTTTCTACCTTCTAATGCCTACAGGCTTCAATAGATACGCTGTCTTGTTATTATATGGGCCCCTCAGCATCAGGTTAAAAGGAGAAGCAGACATTTTGTTTTGGTCTCTGCAGATAGAGATGCTGTGAAACACCAGGTAGAACATGATAGAACAGGCTGTAGCATTATTACTGGGCTGAATTAAAGGTACAGGCCTCCTTTAGATTATTAGCATCAGGACCAATGATTCAGCCTCATTATTCTGCTGTTCAGGCTGTGAAGGTGAAGCAGCAGATCTTCCAAATAAAATCCCTCAGCAACCATTAACAACATTATAATTATATTAAACTTAAATGTTTTTTTTTTCTGTTAATGCAAAATAAAACATTTCTGATGCAAAAGATTAGTCCTGAAGAATATTTCCCACTATATTAAATTAATCTCAGAGAAAGAGTAAAACTACCAAATACCTGCCTTGTGTTTGTCTGTCAGATGTCTTTTTGCCCAGATATCTCTGCTTGATCATACAGAATACAAAAGCAATAATGATGACAAACCCGACTGAGACCAGAGGTGCGATCCAATCTGTTAGAACAAAACACAACAAACAGTAAAATGTACGAGAAGGCATCACAAAGAAACATGGATCCATTTTAAAAAATCTTACATATTCTTTCTTCATCACCACTTTCTGTCTCGTTGAATCCACATAATTTCCTCACATCAACAGAAAAAGTCTTGTTTTCTGCAGGGTTGGCTGCTACACATCTGTATGATGAGTCTTTGTCCTGCCTGTAGACAGTGATGGGTAAAGAGACAGCAGAACTGCTCTGGTTCTGGATTTCTTCATCTTTGTACCACATCAGAGACGTTGGTTTGTCCACAGAACAGATCAACCAGCAGCTGTCAGAGCTCACAGTCCGTGTTTCTACTGCAGGAGTCGGAGCAGCATCTGCAGAGATTCAAACAAACTCAGGTAGCTTTTTCAGTGGAAATGAATGGAGATCGAATGATCAGATTTCTGTTTTTTTTATCTCTACTGGCCTCATAGTGAGGCTTCCATCACAGTTTTAGCATCACTCTGTTTAATTCCTGTTTTCAGTTTATATTGATTAACCATAAAGCTGTGGATGGGTTGGTTCATGTTTATCTAGAGGAACTTTTATCCCATCATGCTCCAATAAACATCCTCAGGTTTAAAATCTACCCACTCTCTGGATCAAGATATTGATGTAAATAAAGAAACAAAGTTGAAACAACTCAAGAAAACTGAATATCTTTTGGATCTTTTTGTTTCAAGTAGTTTTACAATCCTTACATAATCATTTATTTGTTGTTTTTTGTTTCACTAGTTACAAGTAAATAAGTACTATCTAATTTCCATTTAATTTATCAGTTGATTCTTTTAGTGATGTATTTTGCTTAGTTTGTTGTCTATTGCTTTAGAGCACTTTGGTTCAAGTACAGTAGTTATAAGTTAACCTCCATAACTGCCATAAGGATGGTATCCTGAATGTATTTCTAACTTCTAATGTTGTACTTCCATCTTCAATAACTAAAAACTGGTAACTAGCTCCAAAATGGTCTGTTTAGTTAGAATAAGTATAGCGTCACCTTTACAAAGACACCAAGCTTTTTCATTCACTCCAAACAGTTTAAGAACAACATTTAACTAAATATAGCTTTGCTTTATTGTGCAGTTTTTGGTGTTTTCAGGGGAAAAGTTAAGAGGTTAAATACAGTGATACTGAGAAGCAACATTGGCCGATAATAAGAGAAAGTCTAGTAGAGACAAAAATACAGCAGATATTTACAATAACATCAAACTTGACAGTAGTAGATAGGATGAGAGAAAAACAAGGTTAGACAGGTTTTTCTGAGGATGCTATGATTAGAACTATCTCAATAATAAAAATCTAAGTTCATTTTTGGATCAGAACTTTAGCTGAAAACCTTTGAATCTTAGAAAAACTATTTGTGTTTGTTATTTAGTTGCCATGGTTGGTTAAAACATAAAGGATTTTAAGGCATTTATTTTCACAGAAAAATACATTATTAACATTTTAGTATTTTAGTACGCTTACTATTTTTGGGTAGGGAAAAATGTAATGTAGTTCTTTTTAAGAAAATGAGCTGATGCCGCATACGCAGGATGGATCGTGGTTCCGGGATGGATCGGGTTATGATAATGGCCACAGCTGGGACCTAACCTTTAAAGATTCAGAATAAGGGGCACCAAATTGCAAATGCATGATTTGATTAGTTTTTCTGTAGATGCAATAAGACGGCATTTAATTGTGATCAACAAAGATTGTAGCATAAATGTTAAGACATGCAAAGCAGTTTGGTTCTGCCCATTTAAATCAGCAGATTGCACGTTCTACATGCTGCTTGACAGTAGTTTGTAAAAGAAACCTTTAACATGTAGTTAAAGAAAATAATGAGAAGCTATGTAAAAAAATTTTTCTAAAACAAAATAACAAAGAGAACTTATATATAGGTAGACTATCTGTTCTGTGAGGAAAAGTAAAAAAAAATAATAAAATGATGAAAATAACTTAATCAAAGATATCAAATCAGGGTTATATATATATATATATATATATATATATATATATATATATATATATATATATATATATATATATATATATATATATATATATATTAGGGGTGGAACGGTTCACAAAATCCACGGTTCGGTTCGATTCGATTCACGGTTTCTGGTCACGGTTTTCGGTTCGGTTCGATACATGTTGATTGTTACACCAAAATCCCATAAAAATTTATGAAATTAATGAAAAAATCCCCCAAAAAATAATGGATTGTGATTATTTTAAATGATCCGCATAAACCCTGGATCATTTCCGTATGTTTTGCTGCTTTGAATTTAATCATCTGGCGCATGCTCTCTACCATCTCCAAGGAACTCAGAGGGGGCGGACGGGAGCCACAGTGGAGGCTGTAGGCTTTGCTTTGAGCAGCCGGTATGGAGCGCAGCGGGGCGGGGTGGAGTGCTAACGGAGTATGAGGGATTTCGGGGTTAGCATGACATGTTGCTGTTAGCATAAACAAAACGTGTTGCACAATGCTTGCACACTGTTGCACTTTTATCCACAACTTTCTTTCCGCCGTCATCGTAGGTCACTCTAAATGCAAAGTGGTCCCATACAGCAGACCTATAAAGTGCTGCTGACGCGTCTTCCAACTCCTGTTCTTTCCCACTCGCCATTCCCACACAATTCTCCACAACAACTGATTTTTTTCCCTGCTACACCCGGCTACGCTGCTTCGCTTCTTCTTCTTCTTGTTTACTACTGGTGGTTGGCTTTGGTCGCAGTACTGCCACCTTCTGCTCTGGAATGTAAACGCTTCCCTATGAGAAAAAGGAGCAGCGCATTAACCGAACGCAACACACGCGAACCGAACCGAGACAGTGGAACCGAACGGTTCGGAGGGTTTTCATAAATCGTCCCATCCCTAATATATATATATATATATATATATATATATATATATATATATATATATATATATATATATATATATATATATATTAGGGCTGCAACAACGAATCGATAAAATCGATAAAAATCGATTTTTAAAAGCGTTGGCAACAAATTTTATCATCGATTAGTTGTGTCGCGCGATTAATGCGTCATCCGCGGCCGGCGTCATCACATCTACTTGACTGAAACGGGGGAAGAAAAAAAATACGGCAGAGTGAGCCAGCGCTGCAGGTGCAGTGTTGCCAACTCAGCGACTTTTCAGACCCCTCCAGCGACTATTTTTCAAAAAAGCGACTAGCGACAAATCTGGCGACTTTTTACGGTGTCACAGGCGGCTTTTGGAGACTCTTACGTGAAAGCATGTATCGTTCCTACTCTGCTGTGGGGCGGCTCCCCCATCCCAACCCCGTTCTCCCACAGGAGTCCCTCTCAGCGCTGCAGTCAGAGCCGCAGGATGTTTACCCTCATCGTCCAGACTGCAAAGGACGCGCGCATGTGCCGGGATTGACGGCGCAAATTGATCACAATAATTAAAATAGCCTGTGCTTTGTAAAGTGAAAAAAGTCGTAACATGCAACTTTTGTCAAAACAAATTAACATGACCACCATGTTTGTTTGGTTTTAAAGTGGGGAAACGTAACGTTAGTTTCTCAGGTAGCTCATCTGATGCTTTCCTTACCTTGTTAGTAGGTTACAGACAGTGATAAGGTTGGCTACTTTTTTTACTTTTAATTTCATTTGAATTAGCTTAAGCAGCGTTTATATTTTCTTTATATTGAATTAACTTGCAAATTATGAGGGCAAGGCTTTTAAAGTTTAAATCTTCTGGCAAAGATAAAGTAAAGAAGATCCTGCAATTTATGGAAGTAAAGCAGAATAAAATCCAGCAAGATCAGTAATATGTCAATTAATTATATGCCACATTCCCATGTAAATATCTGTCTTTGGAGGATGTGTTTTTTAGCACCCCTAGTTCTCTCATTTTTATTCCAAATACAATTTATAATTTGAATCACAGGGCTATTTTTATCTCTATGGTTCAGTATTTTCTCAAGTAGCAACTTTAACTGCTATACTTTCCTGTCTTAAAAGGCAGAACTCTTCCAGTCTAAAAAAAACTCATTTGTTGAAATGGGGGGCCCTTTTGTTTGAACCCCTTAGAGGCTTTTAAAAACAAAAATGTCTTTTTTTGCGCTTTATGAAACAAAGTAGCCTATATTTTGTGGATGTACAGCTACATTTCTCATGTAAGTTTGCGTAGTTTTAACACAAACATTTATTTTTCATATTGCACCAGGACAGTTAATGACCAACCTGTACTTGTGTGCTTGTTTGTTCTGTCTAAAATGTTTATTTTGGAATAAAGAGGTTAATATAAAAAATATTTTTTGTCCGATTCATCGATTAATCGAAAAAATAATCGGCCGATTCATTGATTTTTTAAATAATTAGTTGCAGCCCTAATATATATATATATATATATATATATATATATATATATATACTTATAACAGCAAAGCCGCTCAGGAGCAGCGGAAGCATCAGATGCATCTAGAAATACTTTTTTGGATGTCTGACTTTAATGTGGACGAGCATAAAAACTGAAGCAGCAGAAGTTTTCTTGCTGCACAAAACGTGGTGTGAATGTAGCATTACACTTTCTGATCGTTTGGATTAACCTATGAAACTTAATACTGTAGCTTAAAATGATGTCATGTCTTCCTCATGAAATTTCCACCTCAAGTCAAGCACACATACTTCCCATAATCAGGACAAAAGTAGTGTTGGAACAAAGACAAAAAGTTAGCTGCATTCCACATAAAAATGCAGGAAATAGCATTTCAGAGTATACATTTCCACTTTTTCGGGGGAGGAAACCCCGAACCCCACTATGTCGCGCAAAGATGTGAAATACCAAGGTTTACAACCTATGTAATCTTCCTTGCTAAAAGCCTGCTGTAGAATGCCTGAGCCTTGTAGATGTTTTTAAATTCCTGCAGGCTTTCAACCACGAGTGAAGGTTAAATACATAATTAATGCATTCAGTCAGATGATATCTAAACGTTCATGTTTGGTTGGGTTGTGCTTCACAGTTATGTGCTCCACACTTTCACAGGTGCTTAAAAAAAACTTTTTAGATGTTTTTAGATATATTTCACAATATGAACTTATTTATTGACTTTTTATCTTTTTTATCATTTTTATTAGCATACTTTTTCTCTGGTAGCTCTGTTAATCTCCTGGTTACAGAAAATTTAGGATGAGGTAAGGAGAGGAACAGTTAAAAATGCCTTTGGTTTATTTTCATCATTGCTCACTGGACTAGAAGGTAGTACAGTTTTGTTTTACAAATCTCCATTACATCATTAGGCTCATTTAAATACATTTTACACAGCCTTTCAGAGCAGTAAAAACAAAAGGCAAATAAATCACCTGGATTAATTTTACCCGGGTTAAAAAAGATCCCAACTATTCAAATTGGAGACTTTCAGTTGATAAGGAGCTATTGGGGGTGAGATTTGATACATCCAGGGCAGGCCACCAGTCCTTCAGAGGATAACACATAGAAACTCAGATAAACAGAGATGCGAACACAAAGGGTGCGTCCTTCTAAAGACAAGCCCACGTAGACCGGGTCCTTTGAAATCCTCAAAACAAAATATTAGGACAGGCTAGCCTTCAGCAACAGTCCCGCTCTAACCTCAGCGTAATGTCGATTGCCTTGCAACCTTGACAACATTAGGGACAAACCCATGAGGTCTGACCATTATCTTTTTATTTTAATAACTTTTTTTTTTCCATAATTTACATTTATATATTTATATTTATATTCTTTATTGGCCTAAAAAGCACATCTTAGAAAAAATAAATTAATAAGGCGTAATTTTCATGACTGTTAGACAAAAAAAAAAAAGCAGTTTGATGAGTTTGGTGACACCTGCATAAATTATTATTTAGATGAAAATAGGGGCTTTTATTTTCATTATTAACTGGAGATGTCAACAAATAGGACATGCCTTCATCATTTTTGTTAGATTATTTTTAAAGAAATAAAGAAAAATAGTAGTTTCTATATTGGAAATTAATTAAATTAATAAAAAAACTTGGGCTGGATTGATCCCGACCTTTAGCTCCATTTTTTTTTTTGTTTAAAGTATTTGTATTGTGGTGAAGATGAGCTACACCAAGTAGTTTATTCTTGGTTTGTTCTTCTGTTTTTAGGGTCATGGGTTTTTGGAACCAAGCTTTCTTTTATGTAGTGAGTGTGCCCCCTTGTGGCTGCTGATGGTAAATATTATCAAAGGAGGTCAATAGCTCCTCCCATTTGCTTTGATCCATGGTAAAAATTGAATATTAGGCTATCAAACAAATTTGTAACACAATCTCTATTTGAACGACTTGTTTATCATCTTCTGTTACCAAGAGTTAGTGGTTTTGTCATGTATCAATTTTGCAAGAGATAACAGTTGACAAGATTATTATTAATCACCTTAGCTTTGCTAAGGAGCTAATCTGCTAGCAACAGAAGAAGATCAACTATTAGTTGAGTTTTAACAACAAAAGTTCTGCTGTATAGGAGCAGGAGCTACATATATTACCACCAACAGCCGCCATCATATGCTTTTTTGTAACAGGTTTGTTCATCACTGGAGAGGAATTTTCTTGTGCCTACAATTTTGAGAAAAAAGGGGCCAGAATGAGCACTAATTTATTTATTGCAAAGAATATTTCAAAGACCACTTCAGAATAACTGTATATGTAAAAGCAGGTAATCACTCCTTTAAATAATTTAATAGTACATTTATATATTACATAATATTTTCATTTAATTGTTTCCTTTTGGTCCTACGTACAATTTAGCACCAGATCGGAGAAATTCTGAAAATCCTCTCCTAAATTAAGAATCTCCTGGAAGCAAATTCTCTGGTTTAGTTCGCTATCATGCCGATTCTCTTTCAACCTTAAATTTCTTCTTCGCTAAAATCCAAATGTTAGAAGTTAAACTTGAAATGGAGGCAAATGACAATATAAACACCAATGGAGATATTATGGCTAATTTATAGCACTGAATGAAAGTGATTATAGAAGGGGCCATGGTCAGTCCTGTAAAGTCAGTGTCCCTCATGTTTTAAATGTTTCCCTGCTTCAGCACTCATGAAAAATGTTTAACAGTAAAATCCTGTTAATCAGGTATGTTAAAGCAGTAAAGCTTCAAGGAAACTGGCTCCTGAGGACAGACCTTAATCATTCCTGGATTGTGTTTAATTAGTATCAAATTAACAAACATTTATATCCTCCATTTATTTACTGCAAAAAGAGTCATTAGAATTATAAATAAAAAGCACTATGAGCACAAACACTATTCATAAAATCACAGGTTTTAAAGTTTGCTGATCTGTAAAAACTGATCAAACATGTTTAAAATGAATAATATGTTTCCAGAGAGGATTCAGAGGATGTTTCAGGTACGAGTTCATCATTATCATGAGACAGGAAGCTGCTTAGTCAACAAAATAAAGACCAGAATCTACAAATATAAAACCAAGGTGTTTGACAGTTTAAGGTGCTCAATTGTGAAATAAATTAGAAATTGAAACAAGCTATCTAGTACAGTTTATAGATTTAATCAATATGTATAAATATCATGAACAAATACAAAAAAATAAAAAGCAGCATCATTACTATTGTGAATCACCTAGTATACTGTATGCATTATTGTTAATTTTTTGTTATCATATTTTCTTCTTTTCTCTTTTGCTGATGTGAAGTTTAACTCAAAATCTACATGAAGGATAGGCAATATAAGCCTAGGCTTCAGCCTAGACCTTTTTGGTTACTGTAAAGAAAATAAATAAATAATGGCAGGTCTAGCAGACATTCATACTGTTGTTTCTAGTTAAATGTTTCCTTTAAGTTTACTTAAAAACCAGAACAGAGGAAGAGTCTATATTAGATTATAGCAGGAACTTCATCTTATTGAGATATGAAAATCTTTCTTATGAGAACTTTGTTTTTATAAGCTTTAGTCAAATTTATCAGACTGTAAATGAAAACATTTGTTCTTTTCATTTATATAAAGGTTAACTTTAAAAGGTTCTTCTTGATTATCAGAAGATGAAGAGTTGGCAGCAACCAAATAAGAAAAAGAAAGAGCAACAGATTGATTGATGTTAGACCCAAAGCCGTAAGTATTATTATTAAAAAATATATATATATTACTTACCGTACACTGAGATAGAATAAAAGAAAGAAATCTTTCTTTTTATATCATCAATTTTATAAACTCCAGAGTCGATCTTCTGCAGGTCTGTGATTGTAAAGAGTCCAGAGTCTTTGTTCCAGAGAAGTTTATTATTGAATTTGTCGTTTAGAATCTCAAGTTTTCCATCTTTCACAGAAGCAAGAATGTTGGCTTTCCCTGCATCTAAAATAAATCCTCGCTCCATCAGAGGATCAGGCAGAGTGATGTTTCCTCCAACAACTCCAGTCAGGTTCCTCTTCAGTTCCTCAGCAGGAGATAATCTCATCATCGCTGTAGAACATCAACAGATACAGTCAGACCAAACTGTCCTGAAAACATCTTAAGTTTAGTCAAAATTATTAACTATAAAGTTATTTTCAGCATCAGTAACAGCAGCAGCCTCACTTCTCCTGCAAAGGAGGAACATAACTGTCTATTTATTCATTTGAGTTTTGATTGTTAGTCTGCATGAGGAATCTGTAGTGTAAAATAACAACTGAGCCATGCTTATAAATGTAAAGAGTGTCAAAGTAACTAATTTTTCTATCTGATTTGATCATTTAAGCGGAAGAACATTGAAGGTCCCATATTACACAGTATTCACATAATAAACATTTTTTAACAGTTATATGTGTCCCGAAGCCTCTGGATAGTATCAACAAATCATCTAATGTATTATTCTGGCTTCTAGGGTATCTATAAACTCTGACTGGTTGTCATGGTTACAGTTTGTTCGGGGGCAGCCTTTGGGAGCACAGGGGTGTGGAAAGCCATTACAGCTCCTCCAGCAGAAGATTTTTGCTTCATGCTGCCTGTCAAATCTGAGAGGAATATTTTTGAACAAACAACAATAACAAGCTTTGGGGGCCTCATTGTTAGTAATTTTTATTTCTTAAATCTAGCATAATATGAGACCTTAGTGGAACAAAGTAAATGCTTCTTAATTTCAGATTATTTGACACAGTTATTGAGCTGAAAATGTACTTTAATTGTCTATGTGTGCTTTTAATCTATTTCATTATCAATATTAAATGACTCCACAGACCCAGGCCCACCCTTGCAGGCTATTTTTCTCAATTATAAACTATATTTAGTTGAGTCTTTGAGGTTGGTATCAATACTTCAAACAAAACGTCTCCTGGGAGGAATGATGGTACGGTAACTATTGTTTAAGTTTAGCGTCCTTGAGAAAAATACAGCAGATGAATCACATATCTGACTGCTTTGAGACGCCTTAGAGCAAATAAATTTAAACAATATTTTAAATTAATACTCCGGAGAGAACAGAGGCCGGTTTCATGAATCGTGAATTACTGTAATGTGATTCATTCTGTACAACAATCTGAAATCCAGCAATCAGTGGAAGTTCTCCAAGTGGGAAAGATGACAGGAGCTCCTGAAGATTGGAGCATTTTTCCAAACTTCCTAAACTTTTCATCCCCATAAATGAAACTATTTCCTCCAATCAGAGATAAATAATAAAGTCTCTGTTCATTATCTTCGTGCTGTTTTTTAGAGTTAAAAATACCTAAATATTCCAATAATTAAAGGACTTGGGTCCCCTCTCCTTCATCTTAAAATGATCGCACCAACCTAACAGTTTTTATGCCAATAAAGGGAAATTATCTGAATCTATAAACAATAAACAATGTCAGATCCTCTGATAGACATAGAGTAATAGAGGCTTCACCAGGTTTTAAGGACCGGGAGGCTTTGGCCCAAGCTGACGCAAAGGATGTAAACACAGAGCTCAGCATGAAATTTTTTAAAGATTTTACAAAAACGATCAAGTGTAGTTTTTACTAATTGAACAGATTTAACAGATCAACATAAAGGCTCTAAATACAACAGTATGAGTTTTTGATCACTATAATGAACAAAAGTGTGTAAACTCTGAGAATCTCATAAACTGTCATAAAGTGATTTTCTTGCATCTTAGTCAGATCCTAAAAACACATTTAATTAGTTTATCTATGATGAGAGGTTTTCAAACTTTTGATCAACTTTGATTACATGAATATGTTCCTTCTTTCATAAATGTTTTTGTCGTTTTGCTTTGAAACAGATCAGTGTTGGTTTGCACAGAGCATCGGAGCTCAGAGAAGTTTTTACTATAAAAGAGAAAAATACTTTAAGAGCTTTATTCTGGAAATGTATGGGCCCCTAATCTCTTTTTCTATCAGTATTAATATTTCAGTTATGAAAAACTAAATACATAAAATCGTATTTAGGTTTAACTTTGAGCAAAACTGTATCCGTGTTTTATTTATTTAGATTTTACCATTCTTACAGACATATTAAACATGACGTTCAGAAAAATAAAGCAGTAAACAAATGATGGAAAAATTGTGATTTATTGATTTAACTCATTTATTTTTTAACACTGCACAAAAAACAGCCCAGGAAGGAAAATGGCGTCAATAAATTCACTATATTTCCCAAGTTTATTTAGCAACACTACTTTCACATGTATAACTGTACAGACTGCAGACATGTGATGATCTAAAGGATTTAGCTGCTTTGGGAATAAATGTTTTGAATTTCACTGAACTAAAGAACAGATATTTTTTAGACCTTCATGCAGATCCAGCTAGAAACTCCCAGAGAGAGCCCACACTCTTCATCCCAACCAGAACTTTTAGCTCATGTAAACTTCATCTGCTCTCTATCATGACTGCTGATAGTTTTGTTTACACTCTGTGAATACAAAATGAAAATAAAGTTTGTCAAAAAGCTCCCATGTAAACTAAGAACAGCCATCTTGTTTCATTTTTCTAGCAGTTGAAGGAAAACATCTCCATCCCTCCCTCTGGTTATTAAACTGCTAACTGTCTCGGATGCCACTTTTAACTAAAATATGCTCACAATGTGGAACATGACATTGACAAATGAGAGAGTGGAAGGAGTTTAAATCAAATCGACAGCTTTCCAACAGAAAGAGCACCGTTGTTCCTACTGAGCCATATTCATATGATCCTGATGGGTGTTGTTTTTAAAGCTTTAAAATGTTTTATTCTGCCTGAATTTGAAGCTTCCTGGTCAGACAGCAGCACATGAGGTTTAATTTACCCATAATTCCTCATTCCCTCTGTCTCTTCCAATGTGGGTCTGGTTCCTCCTCTTTCTCCCTTATCAATCCCTGGTAAAACTTGTTTTAGGGGAAAGTTACTCAGCTGGGTCCAGCTTCAATGTTATCCTTATTGGAAAATAAATTCATTGTGTTAATCTGATTGTTTTCACTCAGCAGATCTTCATCTCTATCTGGGTTAGTTTGGGTTCCTGTCTATGAAAACTCAGATACTCGTCTCTAAACTGTCCTCTGAAACTCTCCTCTGTTACAGAGAGTAAAACTGCTGGTGGAAGTTTATAGAAAAGTGTGGACTTAATTAGAAAATGTAAACAAGAACTCCTTACACCACAACACCCCCCACCCGCACATCACTCTCTACTGCTACAGCCCAGGCTCCATAGCTCCTCCCCCACAGCAGAGACTGCAGCGAATGAGGCCGCTGACCCTGCATAAAGAGCTGTGATACATCCGCTGGTAGGAAGCAAACAAACAACAATTTGCTTTACATGGACGTACAGAGCATTAAAAATCTGTTAATTAAGAGTTTATTGTTTGCAGAAGATGTTTTGTTTGATGTTTGTCTAACTGTAATTCTGTCTGTGTGCTTCATGTGATCTGTGTACATGAATTTAATGGTTTGTAAGCATTGGAACATTTTTAAATATCAGATTTGTTTGTGTATTTTTATTTTGGATTCATAACTTCATTATATTTTTTTTGAACAAACATTTACAAGTACCTGAAGTTATGCAATAACTATTTATAAATTACAAAAAATTACAGATCTAGCATTACAGATAAGGATCTATGTTGAAACATAATTCTCTCCATAAAGAAGGAACTAAACTTGTTAAGTCAAGTCCTTCTGCTTTTCTAACTACTTTAAGCCTAGATGTATTTACATTTTTTCATTTATATTCTGACCTAAAAAAAAAAAGTCTAATTAAACTGTAACCACTGTCTCGCCATTATAATCACTTAAACCATTAGTCAGCACCATCTGCTTTCCTAACTTCACCACATGACTCTACTGCTGTCTGCTTTTTGACTAACAGTTAATTACAAGTTTCACACTATAATTGCAGTTATTTAGAAATGTGAGCGTGGCTCATATTTGGTTGAAGCCTGAACACTGCAAGTTTACCAGCAGATTATGGATATTTTAATAACTAAAACTGGAAGTTATAGTTATTATTTCTTTAATCAAGGGTAAACAATCATGGAAATGTTGGTCAAATGATTACAGCTGACAACAATCTTAATTACCGGGTGTTATTATCAGTGTACCTTTGTGGCTGGACGTTTTAGACGGGCTGTTAAGATGTCCAACATGTCTCCACCATCATTAAATGTCACTAACTTGGTTTAGAATTCAGGAAGCCTTATTGATAATCCACAACAAGGATAATATTTGTCTCTGTGTTTTGAAGTTGATAAATCAAAGGAATCTGATTCAGCTCTTGGAGACGATCAGTCGCTGTCTCAAAATAATCACAGATAAAAATTATTTGTATTTTTATCAAACCTATAATCCCTCACAGTTTTATCATGTTTAGTAAACTATACAAGCACTGCAAACTGCTGGAATAAACACAGACTACATGAATGAATCAGTAATCTTTTCATTAGCTCAGCTTTTGTGATGCACTGAGGCAGGACTGGGAATGACTTTCAGCCCTGGCATTTTTACCATCTACACTGCTGCACCCTACCGGGGAAGAAAAAAAAGAACAGTCAAACGCGTGCGTCCCAAATGTGAAACACAATAGGAATACACATTGTGGATTAACAGATCTACAACGTAAGCCCGAGTGTTGTAAAAACAGCCCATTAAAACAATACCATATAGAGGCAGACAAGCAGTTCTTTTAGAAAGAATCCATGAAAGCTCAGCAGTGTGTCAGCGTTCACTGCCAGTCTAGGTGGCATGTGGGCAATAAAATGGAATAATGTCAACACCATGGTTTCATCAGCTAGCAGACCGAAGTCAACGAAACCAGCAGTCCTACTTATATTACTACTATTAAGAGTAGTAGGCGTGAAGCGTAGGCCTGTCACAATAACAAATTTTGCAGAAAGATTTATTGTCTCAAAAATTATTGCGATAAACGATAATGAGTTTGAAGACCTTTTTACACTGATTTAATGGAAATGACGTAATAATGCATGCATTTTCCTGCCAAAGATAAACACACTTTATTTTCAACAGAACACTTAACACTGGAACTGGTTAACAAAATAAAACGAGAAA